CTTATCCCTGCTGCACCATCAGACTCTTTTATTTGATATAATGTATCTTTTTAAATAGATGTAAAATTATAGACTTGTTTATGGTAGTAATTTGGGTGCTGGGATTAGATAGGTTTTAATCATGTTGTTTGGATTTCAGGAGATGAGTGCTAATAAATAAAAATATTATTGAGAGGTCTCAGAAATAAGAACTTGGGCTGCTTCCCTATTTCACTTCTGTATCTTCCACTGAAACAAATGCCTTGCAAACTCGTGTTTGCAAGTAGCTAGCAGCTGTACCTGTGCATAAGCTTGTCTTACCCAACCAAAACACTTGTTACATTGTAATTAAATGCCTGTTGCTAGCACTGTTACCATTTTTACCAGAGATGCTTCACTGCCTTAAGATGAATCTTAATTGTAATTAAAATTTCACCTTCATTTGCTGTTAAGAATATGAGAACATCTTTTATAGGACCTCAGCCTGTCCAATGCCAGTGTGAAACAAACTTGAAGTGCCTTATGATTTCCTGACAGTTTATGTGATCCCATATAGTGATGAGAAACTGTCCATAATACCTATTGACAGCCAGATCAAGGGTGAGTCATTAGCTCCAACTTAATATATAAGGTATCTGAGGGGATGATATGTGGGAAGGGGACAAGAGATCTGTCCTTTAGCCCAGCAAATTCAAGTGGAAATCAAAGTTTTCAGCATAGAGTATATTGTTGTATTTTACAGTTCCCAAGAAGGGCAGAGCCATGGCAACAGGGTGAATCTAAGAAAGTATGGCTTTTGTGCTACGTGGTAGGTGCATTTAGAAGTTAACTATATTTTATCAAAACCTCTCAAAATTAGATAGTTTTGCTTTAATCCTAGTTTTTGTTAGCCTTGGTTTTAATCCTGTTAATTAGACCTTGCGTATTTCCAAGCAAGTCATTTCCAGATTATTAAGGCTGCTGCCAAAATTGCATTGTTTATTAAGCTCTTTGTTCGAAAACAAATAAAAGTCTTGCCAGATATTTTTGGAAGAGAGAAGATACTAACACTTGGCATGTCTTTACCTTTCACCTTGAATGTTTTTACAGGCATTCACGTGCAGATAATAGCTGGACTAAACTACCTCTCAGATAGATTATGGAAATACAGGGATTACAACAGAGGTGCTTGCATAGTAAAAAGCTGGGTCTTGTGAGAGGTGGACAATTGTACACTTTTGAAACTGGAATACTTGGGAGTTTGTATTCTTCAAACTGCTGCTAATAGAGAAAGTGCTTGACACAGCACTTCCAATCCAGTAGGTGTTTTATTTGTATTCTCAAAATAATTCCAATTCCTAAGGTCATGTAAGCATATCTTTTAAAATTAAGCCCGATCCTGCTGGGATTATGTTCTTGATGTTTTTTTCCTGTGAAGGACTGGACTGATAATGAAGAGGTGTCTAACAAAATTGGAGAAAATAAGTTACTCCAGCAACAGAAGTCTAGTTGTATGAAATCATTATAAACAAATCATTATAAGCAAATTAATTGTGAGACAGAATCTTATCATTACTTCGAATATGTCATTTGCTGGTATATGCATAATGCATTTCTTTTTTATATGCCACAAAATGCTTATAAAGAGTAAGTAGATGATGATAATCAAAACAATGATAAATCTTGCACTCATGTCTGCTGCTTTCATTCAAAAGCACCCTGAAGCACTCTGCAGACTGTTATATATAGGAAATTAGAAATAGAAAATTACACTGAGATTTCATCAATAACTCCTGGTAATAATTACAGGATTTGATCAGTTCCATTCATCTCCCATTTGGCTATTAATAGGAATATGACATGCTCTGAATTCAGTCTTTATTCTTTTAAGGGGATTTTCTTTGGTGAAGAAAAACTTCAGAGACTTTCTGCACCCTGTTAATGTGCAAAGTCTTAAAATACTGGCAGAAGCATTATCACTTGCAGGAACTGAGTGTTCCAGCTGTGATTATTTCTAAGTATGTAGCAAAAAGTCAAGCATTAAAATAAGTTTTTGGTTTATAACTTTTTTGACTTTGTCAGCACTGATTAGTATGTCCTGGGGAACTACACGTACCTTAGAAAAGTATAACAGAGCCACTCAGTCTCTTGTGTGTATTTGTCTTTTTGGTGCACACATGGGCCAAAAATTATTGTTACCCCTTTCTTGTTAGGATTGAACAAACTATGCAGGTTCTGATGGAGAAAAGATACCTTATTTCACTCAACTCTAGGTCATCATTGTATCATAGAATCACAGAATCATAGAATCATAGAACCATAGCATGCTTTGTGTTGAAAGGAACCTTAAAGATCATTTAGTTCCAACCCCCCTGCATGGGCAGGGACACCTCCCATTGGATCAGGTTGCTCAAAGCCCCATCCAGCCTGATCTTGAACACTTTCAGGGAAGGGGCATCCACAACCTCCCTGGGCTCCTCCAGACTGGTTTTGATCCATTCTCCACCCAGCCTGTATTTGTGCTTGGCATTGCCCCGACCCAGGTGCAGGACCTTGTACTTGGCCTTCTTGAACTTCATGTATTTTGCATGAGCCCACATCTCAAGCCTGTCAACGTCCCTCTGGATGGCATAAGACCAGCACTCCCAGCCTTCGATATCTCCTGTACAGAGAGAATGCATTTCCTCAAATGGTGAGACAAGTAAGCATTTATTAGAAAATAAAGCTATTCCTGAAAAGGTGACATGTAGTTTTATTGTCATGGCAAGAGCTCTAAAGTGACTATATCGCTAAATGCATAAATTATTAAAATAAATAGGAACATGATCATTAAAGAGGGAGGAAATTGCTACTGCTCCTTTTTGTTTTCTTCAAAGGAAGTGAAAGCTATTGGTGACAGAAAAGGGGCTCCATTTTACATCCTTATTTGGAGCTGAAATACTAGCTCTTTTTGTGAGAGAGGAAGGGAAGAAGAGAAATGCCAATAGTTTTCTTTGAAGAATTCATTATTTTAAATAGATACATCCATCTTTAAAGCATTCTTTGAGAGAGTAGCAATCAGCAGAGCAAGTCAGTCTCAGAGGAAAAATCTCGGAAAGAGCAAAGTGATGACCTACATTTATCCTCTATGAGAAGGGAGTGGGTCCCATGGATACAGGTCTTTAGCAGAGATGGAAGATTAGGTCTTCATACTTGGCTTTGTTATTCACTCTTTTCTTTCTTGAAAGGAAAGTCCTTTAATCTCCCTTTTCTTAACATCACCTATCTCCAAGCAGATCCATGTGATACCTTTGTAAAGGGCACTGCATTCTGTGGATAAAAGCAGTAAACCACAACCTAGCACACTATGCAGAAGCAGCATGTGAGGATTACTCCTCTCCATTTTCCTTCCTTTCCAGCAGTCCCCTGTGGCAGCCTCACCAGCATAGCTCCTGGTATATCTGTGTCCAACCAGAGAGGGTTAATTGTCTCAACCACACAAAGGCCCATGGAGAAAGGCAAGTGCTCTGAAGGAGAGCATATAGATTAAGGAAAACAGTAATCTACCACTTGAGATACTTTAGTAATTAAATCTCTAATTACTCTCTTAGTCACAGAGAACAGACATGAGTTCCAATGAGCTGTCTTTCAAAAACGTGATGGTTATTTACTTCATTACTTTAGTTTCACTTCTTTTAAAAAGAGTGTTTTGCCTTCCACCTCTTCAGAAGGACACAGTGAGGTTGGTGTAGACACTACTGGAAAATACTGCTGTGCTACTGGAAAACTCCAGCATTACCTGCTGTGCTTCCCAGTTGTTAGCAATCTAATTAGTCAGATCACAGAGTCACCCAAGTTAGAGATAAAGACTTTCAGGTTCCTGAAATCCTTACCAGTTCCCAGTTATACTCATACTGTGCACTTCAGTAACTTTTCCAGATCCTGAATTCATCCTGTGGTATTTTTGAACAAATTAATTGATTTTTAGATCAGAAAGTTGCTTACTTTAGATAATCCATTGTCTGGCAAGGTACAGCTAAAAAGAAAAATTAAAAAAAAAAAAAAAAAAAGAGTAAACAAGATTAATTTCTTTTGCTTTCTCTTACTTTATTTTGTATCATAAAGTGTAGTCTTAACAATATGTATAGTATAATTTTTTTCCTGCATGGATATTTTTGGCCTTGCATATGTTTATGTCCAATAAAAAAAAAAAAAAAAAGCACTAGAGAGATAAGGTACAAATTAAGTTTAGATTTTGATTTATTTTCTGTTTGAAGAAAGAGCTCTCAATACTCACTCCAGCTGGATTCAGCGCTTGCAATGCTAAAGAAAAAAAAAAATGTCTATGTGTTTGTGATTTGGTCTAGACATGAAAAAGGCACCAGGTTACTCACTGCAGTTAAAATGAGGAGCTTTTAGATACGACTCTTAATTGAATTTTCATGATCTTGCTAACTAAAATGGGGTTTGAGCTGCATACTTGTGGTTTAACTCACAGGTTTGGATTTTTTTTTATTTATGCACTTAGTGTTAGAAACAAGTGGACTAAGATGACCAGCCTTTTCAGATGATCAGTCTTGAATGTATATTTTATAATACAGTACTAACAACATGAAATATAAAATAAGCGCTGTTTCCTTGGTAGGCAGAGGTCATGTTGTTAGGACACTAACTGGCAGCAGCTAGAGCAAAAAAGAGACACTTCTAGGAAGCATTAGTATTGTTTTTCCCCCATCAGCAAGATCAACAGCAAAGTGTTACCTACTAGTATGGAGCTGGTCAGCCTAGAAAGCAAGGAGACTCACAGAAGCTGAGCTGTGCCCTGGACTGGCCACAGAGCAAGTTGTTACTTTGTATTCCTAAGTGACACTAGCTGCTCTCTATCCATTTTCCAGTGAACTGATGTTGTTTGAAACAGGTTTTTAGACAGTAACATATACTGGAGTAGTTGTTGCATACCTGTGTTTTTGGTGCTTAGTTCATTGTACAATAATAGTGATCAAGGAAATTATTTAAATATTTAAATGTATTTCACAATCTTTTTCTTTTTCTCTGTAATCCAGGAGAAAAGACACTGGGATGTTGTCATACAAAGAGCACCTGCCAGTGAGTCAGGTAGTGGTTGGAGACATTGACCGCCCTGGATCTGAAGCCAAGATATCTGTGGGTCCCGTGCGTTGTCAAGGAGATCGTAAGTCACCGGGGTTTCTTCCACTTACTAACTGGGCAGAAAGCAAACTAAATTGGAAACTGGTAACTTCGTAGACACCTCATGCAACTTTAGAGAAGTGGTTGTCAACTCAGAGACTTTTCTATGAAAGCATGATGTGATTTGAGAAACGTTGTCTATGAAAGTGCACGTATAATGGCTCATCTTTGCATTTAAAATATTGGTATGTCTCTGTTTTATGGCAAGTGTGGCAACGTTGATTATTAATCTGAGTTTATGTGGATACAAGCAGTAATACAGATTGCATAAGAATATCTCTCAACATCTGTGTCTTGTTATGTGCTCTTCTCAGTGTCATTACCTTTGCTATGCATATCACTGTGAACTATGTTTCTGGGATATAAATAGTAGAATGATTGCAAAACTTATGGGTGTAAACTCTTTTTACAGATGTATAATGTTTGACAAGATTGTTATCAAATGTTAACCCTAACAGGGTAAAACACTGACAGTTTTTTGTAGCAGGCTGAGTGCTGATGGGAAATGAAAATCCTCCAGTTTGATCAGCAGGTGATAGAATAAATCACTATAATGGATAAACCTCCACTTCACAAACACACAAAAGTGGGGGTGCAGTTGGGAGATCTATATTCTTCCTTCAGTCTGTGTTACATGTCAGGTGAAATTCACCAGTGAAGGCAGAGCAACCACTTAAGTCACTTTTAAATCACACCTCAGAAAGATTCTATGCAGCTGGCACACACACTGTGCTCGTCATTTGTATTTGAAGGCCATTCTGTTACAAAGGCATGCAGTAAGGAAAGGTTGCTTGGGTTAGTTTACAATAGCTCATCTTTGCATGGTCTATAAGGAATACAGAATCCACCCTGGGTTGCTGCTGGCAAAGAGCACAGTCAGGCAGTCTGTGAGATTGCAGTGGTGCAGAAATACTGAATGGGTTCACAGTAGTTGAACAACATGCTTCTAATTGACATCTAAGATGGCACAACAGGGCTGAATATGGTTTGTTCTTCCTCCTCTGCCCCTCTAGTGCTACATGTTTTCCCTCTGTGTGTTTCTAAGTGCAAAGGAGGTCAGTATCATTATACCTGCCTTAATTTAAAGGAATTAATCCCAGCTGAGATGAAAGAATGTCCTCAATAGTCATTCAGCAGAACAAGTACAAAAGAGAGTTTGTTGAGTCGCAGTCCAGTGCCTCAAAACCCCAGGCCATTCATGGCTCAGTGATACAACAGAATGTGCTTAACCTATTTTCTGTTCAGGGTCTTTCTGGATTGTACAAATGATCTCTCCAGGTTTTATTAATTAATCTGATACCTAAGAAACAGAAACAAATTTCATGGGATGTTTGCAAACTTTCACATCACATATTTGGTCCTTTTTATTTAGGGTGTTTGACTAATCACAGGTCAGTTTGTGTTTGTTTCTCAACTTTGTTTGACAAACATTTCTGTAAATAGGCTTTTACAACTGATGACTAAGAAATAACACATAGCATATTTCCTGTGCCTGTAGTTCTCAATCCAGAATCTAAGTGCTGCTAGAAATATAATTCTCTAAAGTGTGAGCTATTTCTAAATATTAGTATAAATGAAAGCTCATTTGAGCAGACAGTAGTCTTTATTAGAGTTGGACTGTTACATGACCATTTAGGGAACTGAACATGTTTATTTCTAACATCCTGAATTTTCTATTTGAACTTTACAGATACAATTTGTAGCTTTTAAAAAACTTTGCCTAGGAATCAATTGTAATTCATTTCCCATGTATTATTGTCAAAAAGCTGGTACAAGTTTTCTTACAGAAGATAATATAAACTCTGGTCCTTTTCAGTTAGTAAAAGCTCCCATTTTACATTCTGAGTGCATTTACAAGGCATTCTCCCTCATATTCTTTCTTGACCATGTAAGACAGCTGCTGTACTCCAAACCAGTTCTGTCTCACCATGGATTAGAGTTGGTAGAAAACAAGTTTTCAATCCTGGGGAAAAAGCCAAAATTTCAAATTATGGTTTTGTTCCAAAAGGAAGAAAGAGGAAAAGTGCTGAATTTGTGGAAAGGGCTTTTAAAAACAATTGATCAATTTTTTAATGTATTACATGCATCAAACCCAACATTGTTAACACTAAAGATGTTGACTCTCTTGTCACAGTCCAAGTTCAGTTGTGTAAGTTTTGTATGTAGTTATCACTGTAATTTTTGAAGGTGAGAAATGGAATTCAGTTAAAGGCATGAAGACTGGCAAAGAAATACAGATTTTTGGTCTGGTTGGAATGAAGGTGGGAAAAGTAATAGTGCCTAAACTTTATGTAATTAGAAGGGGATAAATGTATGTATTTAGAAGGATTTCTCATTTTGGTTGTAGAGCCTGCCAGTTGTGTGATGACTTATCTCATATTGCCCTGAGGCTTGTCCGTGGCATATGATGTATCAAGCATAGTCCAGTGATATTTTGCAGCACATGAAGGGTCATATTCTCCCATCAGAATTACAGTATAATTTGCCACGCATTTCATAGCTACTTCTGTGTGACACCTAGAGACACTGACATATCACCTAGGCCTAGTCACAGCTGTACCTGAGAGCTGTAAGAGTACAGCAGAGCTGTTGGCATTAGCAGTGCATAAGAACAGAAAGCCAAAAGCTTGCTATTTGAGTCCAAGGATTATTAAATAAAACAAAGATATTATTTGTCTCATGCAGTTCCATTCCTCCCTTAAAGAACCAATTAATCAATTGGGGCCACAACAATTAACCATTCCTACACTATTGACTGATGAAAATTAATCTGAAAATCATTCATTTCAGTGCCATTGGTTTGACACAAATTGAGGAAAATTAGGAATAATGCAAAAATCACTAGAAATGCAGATTTTATTTGGGTCTCACAAATGACAGTTTCATTTTTCTATTCACCTGATTTTATCCCTTAGTAAGGCTGCTCTGGGCAAGCTTGGATGGCAGGAAACAAAATCAGAAAACTTGGCCGTGTATAATTGTCCATCTTTGTGTTCCAGAATTAACTGGACCTCACAAAACACTATCTGCACCCTGAAAAGTAGTCAGCAAAATGTCCTTTATTACCCCTCTAAAGATCTGCTTAAGTTGCAGTGTTCCACTAGAATGGTGAAGACCCGTCTAGTCAATGTGGCAAAAATCCCATAAATCTTGCCTGGGGCCTGTCTTGTACCTTGGATAAAATAACCCAGAATGTCTATTTTCTGTTTGCTATTGTAGTTTTCAGGAATGCTTTCTAAATATTTATTTATTTTTCTAAGTGGTGACCTACCACAGGAGTGGACTTGCCCAATTTTATGAAGAAGTGGTGCATAACCAGGGCATGGGGTTTTTTTGGCATTTTATTGCCTCCAAACATCAAGTAAGGAGTTTGAGCAAATGTCAACTCTACTTAGACATAAAGCAAAGCTGTCCTTCCTTGACATTGCTATATGAGCATTGTATGAGAATGTACAGGATGACAATGACAGTTTATCATCAGATTCTCAAGGTTCTCTAAGCTGAATGAAAAATAAAAATGGAAAAAAGGGAAAATGCTTATTTGTATAACTTTGATATTCACCAGTCCCAAGACTCTGTAGTAATATTGGATAACAAAATTAGTCTTGATTTTCTCAAGTGAATGTGTTCTGTGCAGGATCTAGAAAAAAGGCCCGACTTAGAACCATTAATTAATCAGGTTTGTTCAAGTATCTTTGAGATACTTACTAAAACCCTGTTACAGACCAATTACAGATCTACTAATACAATAGCACCTGGATTCCTCAGCTCTGCTGCATTTGGCCTGGTCCAATTAGTAGAAGAAAGACCTTTTCCATCTCTTTATGTTATTCCATTGTAATGTAAATGAGCACCTCGAGTCTTCTTCCTTTAGAGAAGAGGTGGGGGGGGGGTGGAGAGTTGTGTCTCAGCTCAGCCTGAGGTGGTACTTCAAAGCTGCAAAAATGGATCTAGTGATTTCTTTTGAAAACAAACTGAAGATTAGTTTACTAAGTTGGGGCTGTGCTACAGAGATTTCATCAATAATAATAATGAATCAAAATTACTTTTTTGACTTTTGGCACCTTTTTAAGACTTTATTTTCATTCCCCTGAGGAAAATAACTTGTGTTTTCAAGGCTTCTGTATTTGTAACCTGCTAAGAGTATCCTTTTCCCAAGGGCTTCCAAGGATTTTTATCTCCGTTTGCTCTCTACAAACTCTGAGGGGAGCAGACTGACTGTTCAACTCTAGATTTGCCTTTCTCCTTGGATCTGTTCTCCTTTTGTGCTATTTCGTCTATAACAAAGAGAATTTAAGGGGGAGATGTTTTTTACACAGCTGAGATTTATTTTTTTTCCATCTCCGCTCGTGTTAAGTTTTTGCTGTCCCTGTAAGACTTTGATTTCTGAGCCATGAATCTTTTTTGTGTTTCACTTCTATTCTCTTTAATCTTCAAAATGTGGAGGAGGAAGCAGCTGCATTTACTGTGGTTCTCTCTAAGTTCTGAAGACCAGTATCAGTAAGACAAAAAAATTATCCTTGACAGATGATAGAAATTCAGGAACAAATCAAGACTTAGTTCTTACATCACACAGCATTGGTTTTGTTTGTGCATGTGTGTGTGTGACTGTGAGTGTGTCTTCTCAGGGGCAATATACCTTGAGTTCTTTTTTTCAGTGATTTTGACCATGGCTCATCATTACTTCTTTCATGACTTGAGGCTCTATTTCTTTCACTTGTAAATATTGCTTCTGGCTTTACCCTTGTACTTCCTTTTAGAATGTTCCAGTAGAGTTGACTTATTTAACCAGACAGTGGTGTGGACATGGACATTTTTTCTGACTCTAGGTTTGTGTTAAAACCACTCTGTAGGTACCCGAAACAGACAGCAACTGCCAGGGTCGGTGTTTACAGACTGGTATAATTGTTAAAGGTGTATATTTGAATTCCTTAAGTACTTCTTATGCATCCCGTGTGCAGGTTGGTAACTCAGAACTGTTAG